TTGTGTGTGTGCGCATGTGCACATGTGTGCGTGAAAGCCTCTGAAGGCTGCAGTGTATTTCACATGTTAAATAAGCATCAGTATTTTTTTTTAACTGAAGATTTTTAATGAAAGCATTAGGGAGCACTTGGTTCTTTAATTTGCCAACAGAATGACTAATCAGCAAGTATGTACTTGGCCAGCCATGCCAGAACATGCCAGCCTTGCAACTTTGCACTAACCAGACAGCACATGGTATCTAAACATCCCATGGGGATGATCAGAGTACTCAGTGAAAATGGGAGGGTGTTGAAGCAAAGGTGGGAGAGAGTTTTGAGAAACAAATCTCTAGAAATTTGGGCATCATGCATTCTGCTTCTCTTTAGGCAATTTATTTTCTCTTCTAAGATGAAATATCTACAAAATTATTATATTATGAAAAGTGAAGGCAAAGCAAGGCTAGTTCAGATGAGGCATCTGGGGTAAGCAGCAACGTGTGGTGGCTGATTTGATAAGAAGATTGGAGACTGATTCTGGAAAGCTGCTCAGTCGGTTACAGTAAAGTACAACCCATCAGGACAACCTGTTGAGTGCATTGCTATCTCTGCTCAGATCTGCACATTCTCCAAGTTTAAGAACATCCTAATTTATAACCTGTGCACATTCTTCTTTTATAAACAAACAAATCTAAGAATCATTATCTTGCTGCCACTTTAATGAGTTTTTTTTAGTCGAAGATAACTGAAGTAATACTGATCCTGGTTTGTTGTAGTATTCATCTGTAGCCAACCTGTGCTTTGCTCTATTTAAGCTCTCAGTTGCTCTCAATCCATCTAGAAGTTATGACTTACAGTTCAAAGATCTTTCAAGGCTTGTTTCTGATTGTCCTTTGAAGAATACACATTACAAGTAACTGTTAGAGGTGCACAAAGAAAGGTTTGCTCTTTTCTTCTGAGCCTCTCATGCTGCAGGAGACAAATCCACACATCCCTGTGTTGGTGCACAGTGACATGACAAAAGGCCTCACTTAAATTCCGAATAATCTTTGCAGTTTAGATCTGCAAAATCTAATCCCCAGAAAGAGAAATCTTGCTTGGAGAGGCTCACTTCATTCTCAGCTGTAATTACACTCACATGGATCAATTTAGCTGAATCAGGCCTGGCAAAATCTTCAGTAAGACCCACAGAATCCAAGCAATGCTGCAACAAATCCCAGACTACCAGGCCATACTACTCATCCAAAGGCCAAATGCTATGTGAGTTCCATGTTTGGGAAGGTCAATGCAAATCAGCTGAGAGCAAGGAGAACAAGCTTTTTTACCTAGACTTTATAATAGATAGCCTACATGTTACCTTAGCACTTTTAAACCAAACTTCAGCTTCAGCTTTGCCTGAACGAGACACGCTTCACCTGGATCAAGTTGTGTTCCTTATAGTTGGGGTAATTTCATGCTTCTGAATGTCTCCCCCAACAAACAGCTGCTTTCCATTTGTTACTACCATCAGTGATATGTTCTAAGTTTATATAAGAATGCACAAATCTAATAAGAGATGTACTGCCATAAAAGTATAATTAAAATAAATGGAGGGAATTCTTCCTTAAGAATAACTAACTCAAATACACCTTTCTTTGCTGCAAATTCATCTAGCTGTAAGTGGAACACCACCACAGACAATGCCATTGTTTAGGTTTCAATAACTGAGACACTCTTTACCTTCTTTCCCCCCCCCTCTCTTCCCAAAATATCTCTGCTTTTCCCTAAGTGATTGCTGAATTTTGGCTGAAAAATGCAATTGGCTGGATGTTGGTTCTTTGTACTGCCTGTAACCCCATTAGAAACCAGAAAGCTCACCATCAAGTGTCAACTTGATAATTCAGGAAACAAACAGCAAAGCCTGTTCATCACCCTCTTTGCCCTGAGTTCACCCAAGGCACATTTTTTATAACACAGTCAACTATCTTAGAGTTTTTAACATATTATGTTTACCACATCCTGCGAATTCCCTACATCTTTTCATTGCAATGTGTTAAGTCATAAAAACACTTTTCTCCTCTAGTTGGAGAATGGGCTTTCCCTTATTGATGAAATTGAAACTCACTTAAGGGAAATGTACATAATCTAATAGACAGCTGTAATTACATTAGAATAATAAACACAGGAACAACTTAGCTCAGGAACACCACCAGAATAAGTCTGAGTGCTCTAAGCCTTCAATTATTCTTTATACTTTTTTCATACAAGGAATTTCATGGCCTATTAGCAGTATAACAGATGACTTTATGGCTATTTCAGATAAAAACTGTGAAAGGAAATAAATTTGTCAATAGAATACACATCTTGAACTCAGGAAACTGTAATACAGAATTTGGCACAGGTGAAGGGGAATTTTAAATGGCTTATTCAGTTATGATATAGGAAGTGAAAAATAAAGGGCTAAATTAATAGCTGCTTTAAGTAGATGTCACTGATTCTTTCCTATTAATAATGCCTCTTTTACTCAGCATCTCTTCTCCCTGATACAGACAGGTCATATATTTGCAGGTTTTTTAGATATTAGAAGACTAGAGACTGAATCCTCTTCATTGGATTCATTCCTGTTTCATTGCTGCTTCTGCTTATCACCTTGGATGTGGGGTTGTTCTTTTTCTGTCAAATAGCAGAGTCACTGTGATATTGAATGAATAAGGCCAGCAAAACAGCTGTGACTGCATTAATGGTCACATTAAGGTATTTATAGAAGCAAAAAAAGGCACAGTAAAACCATGCATTTATTTTCCAACTAGGGCTCATTAATTGATGGTATTCTTCTAATACAGTTATTTATGATATGCAGTATTAATTCAAATTTAGCATAGCTGCAGTCTCAAGAAGCAATTAGGAAAGTTTGCAGTGGGGGTAAATGTGATTCTTGCCAATAGAGGTATTTTTTATTTTCTGTTTTAAATAAGCTTGGTCTAAGTCAAAAGACTCCAACAGACTGCTGTGGGCTCTCATACCTCGTGCCCTTATTGTCTAACTTCTGCTTTATTCCTCCTGTTTTTTCTTGCTCTTTTTCTTTGCCTGACAAACTTGCCCCTTTCTCACTGTTACATTATTTTTCTGCTCTGTTTCTTTTCCTCCTACAAACAAAACCAATGATATGTATCTTCTTGTGGATTATAATGTACCAAACAAGTAGCTCTCAAACAACTGAGTGGATTAAAACATGACAAGCTATTTCCATGAACATTCACCTACCCATGTTGTTTGCTTTCCTCTCCATCATCTTTCCCACAAGCACATTTAAAAAATTTGCTGCAGTTTTCATTACATTTCAGATCAGAAGGGATCATCAGATTGTTTGCTGCAATAGTCACCTTGCAAATCTAAATCAAATTAAGCATTACTATCACTTTTATAAGACACATCAAACTGTCCCAAGCTTCTTCAATGGTACAACATGGATCACAGAGCCTGTGAGGATTATCTTTAGGTGATCCCAGTAGGAAAATCTGATCTACTGCTTTCTGCTAAATTTGTCTGAAAGGCTGCTTACTCCAAAAACCATGCACAATCAAATTTTAAACATGTGATCAGACAGGAATATAAGACTTTCTGAGCAGTAGAAGACAACAGCCCCTTTTATTTAATGTTCCTCTTCAGTTTAGAGTTATCTTTGGATTGGGAGGAAGAAGTCTTCCTAATGCTACAGGAGATCAACAGAAACCTTTGAATAACAAGATCATGCAGAAGGCTAGCGATCAGCATAAGGTACAACACTGCTGTGAGCATTTGCACCTGTGTGTATAGTTTAATCCTGCAAGAGTCTGCTTGGACAGAAGAGCATACAAGCAGGTACTGAATACACCAAAACCGAAATGCTGGCAGCTGTGTGCCAATGAAAACAGAGGTAAGGGACTTTACAGTCTGTTTACAGCTGTAAATTTTGTTCACAGTAAATCATTAGCAATATCCTTTGCAAATGTCACTGTTCACCCAGTTGCCTCAATGTTCTTAAGATCTTTTTTAATCAAACTGCCACCTCCCATAGTGGTTGCAGGAAACTGTATCCCACATTAACCACTTGACAGCAGTCACGACTCGCAAGAATATAGCCACACAGGCAGTTATTCTCTACTAATTCTTATGTATACGGTAATCCCAGGTACAAATTATCTGTTTTTTTCTTGCTTTCCTTAGGACAATTTGTTCCTTCCATTGTACTTTCCGATTTGATGAAATGTTAATAATTTATCCTGTTAGCTTTTCTGTGATAAATTGTACATGGTTATGAGTGCATCTGCTCCTCCCTCCCAGGTTTTGAATTTGTTTGGCAGTTTCAGCCTCACTAGACAAAAGGAGAGAGTCTCAAAAATATTAAGTACTTATACATCATTTGGACACTCAATACTAATAAGTAGGCTTTATTTATTACAGTGTTCACAAAACTAATAGCTTTTACTTCTACTGGCTAAAGCACCCACACTGCCATCCCTGTTACCTGACTAAGCACTTCAGTTCAAATCTCATTCAAAGTTACTGATTAATGCTCTTCAGTAAATTATTATTTCTGGTTAGCTCCATTACCCTACTCAGCTCAAAACACAGTGCCACCTTTGTTTGGGAGAAAGCCCTCTCTCCCCACACATCCATTTGCAACGGTGCAAATTTCCAAACCTCTTTATTTTGATCTGAATAATAAATACAGGTATTTACGGTCAAGACTCAAAGGTGGGGTTTCTTTTTTTGTTTCATTTTTACTGTTACGACAAACTACTATTTTAAAAGCCTCAATCTAAGTAAGTAAAAAGCAGCATCCTGAATTCCTGTGCTAAAGAGGTTTATTTTGTCACAGACTATTTTAAAGCCTCAAAAAGCTTAAGGATTCACCCGTTGGCAGTAAAGCACTTCAAAGTCACCGCGCTGACAGAAAACCTCTCTCTGAAAGGGTTAACGAGCCGTTTCACATAAATTGGGCATTTAACCGAATGAGTTATGAACGCCTGAACACAGAGGAGGGCGACTTAAGAAACAGTACAGGATGCTGTAAGCGGAATCTCCATAGAAACAAACACCTCCCGCTCAGGCACACGGCCACCCCAGCACACTCCCACTTCCCACTGTTCTTTTCCTCATAGACCTAGAAGCACCCGGGTCCGCACAACCCCTTGCCGCAAGACGGCAGCCACCACCTCGCCCACCTCTGCTCCCTTCTCTCGCGCTCGGAACCCGATCCCCTTTCCCTACGAGCTGGGAACGAAGTGAGGCGCCTACCTCCCTCCACTCAAAACTAATGCAACCAGTGAGTGTGGCCCCGAACCGGCCATCATAAGGGGGGCCCTCAGCAGCAGCCCCACCTCCCGCGCGCGGCCGAACCCTCGCGAGAGGTCGTCGCTCGCTCCCGCGTTGCCACGTTCAAAGTCGCCGGCGGCGGGGAACGGGTCGGACACGCGCGCCCGGCACACGGCCGCCCCGCCCTCCCGCGCTGCCCGCCAATCGGAGCAGAGAGACGCCCCGCCTCTTTCTCGGGGCCGGTCCGCTATTGGCTGGTGTCGGGCGGGCTGGTCCGCGGTACGTTTGGTGCTGCGCTGCCGTGGCCGCGGGCGCTCCCGCACGCGGCGCTCAGGTGGTGGCAGCGGTTCCTGGCTCGCTGTCGCTGCATTCGTACGGGCTCCGCCCCGCCGTCTCGTGGCGGTGCGTGACAGGAGCTGCTATGGCCTCACGCAAGGGTTCCAGAGGCGCTGGCGGCAGCCCTAGCCCAGGCTCTAAGAGAGGTGAGCGGGGTCGCTGCGCCGTATCTCGGCGGGAAGGGGCGGGGGCTCCCACGGACCCTGAGGGGCGGCCGCCGGCGTGTAGCGCGGCGGGGCGGTGGCTGGGGACCCCGGAGCTGGGGGAGGGGAAGTGGTTGATGCCGCCCCTCACTGCGGGCAGGGGGAGCTCCCGGGAGAACCGAGAAGGTACTGTGCCTTTCCCTGTGTCTGTACTTCCCTTCGGGCTGAGGTGCAGTCTCCCCCACCTGTCCCTTCCCCCGGCCCTGAGCTCCTCCGGCGCTGCGGGGGCTGGAGAGCGGGCGATGGCCGCGGACTGTCTGTCCCTTGCTTTCCCGTCGTTCCCCGCATCGGGAGTTCACGTGGAGAAGAAACTTGGGCGGCCGGGCCTAAGCGGTAGGGACGCCCCTCGAAAGCTCACCAGAATGGCTGGGCTGGCTCCGGGAGAGTCCCGACATTTGTTGGTATCTCCGGAGAGTCCGCTCAGACCTTTTCCTCCAGAACCCTATGACAGAACCGTAATACCCAACGTCTGATGCTGGTGAAGTCATTGTTATTCTTGTGTTGAACTTGGATACTGGAGTATGTCCTTAGGCTGACCTGTTTAACAACACTGGTCTAAAGTTATTAGTTTTCTTGTAGATGTAGCATCTAGGATGATGGTTTTTGTAGGGATAGAAGAGAAATAATCTTAAAAAAATTGCAAGTGTAAGGTTTTTTGAGACAGCACCCCCAAGTAAAGGGCATCTTAAGACATCTGACTATTCGTAAAATACCGTGTGTGGACAGCTTAGCTAGGGAAAACTATGTGTAGTAGCTTTTATAAGCATAGCAGAAAGAGGAAAAAAATATATACTTCTGAAGTCACTGTGCAACCACGCACCACACTGCGCTGCACTGAAGAAAGGAAGTGATCTTATCAGAGACTGAATGTTTGCTGATTATATGTAATTTCTTTGGGTTTGAGCTTCATATGCACAGAGCTCCAGTGGTGAGATGTGGTGGTAACACTGAAATAATATCCGTTGATATTCTTTGACTATAGCAGTAATACGGAGAACAGTGTCAATTAGGAGAGGGACTTCTTACAAGGACATCTAGTGATTGGACAAGGGGCAATGGCTTTGAGATGAAAGAAGGTAGATGTAGATTAGATATAAGGAAGAAATTTACTGTGAGCGTGATGAGGCACTGGCACAGGTTGCCCAGAGAAGCTGTGACAGCCCCATCCTTGGCAGCGTTCAAAGCCGATCAGACAGCTTTGAGCAGCCTGGTGTAGTAGGAGGTGTCCCTGCCCATGAGGGGGTGGGGATAGGTGTTGGAATTAGATGATCTGTAAGGCCTCTTCTAACCCAAACCATACTGTGATTCTAATGAAAGGATGAATCATACAGGCTTAGTTTACCTATCACGTGATGAATTTAGGAGAAAAAGATTTCAAACATACTTAAGCATAAAAGAGTTTAGAGATTGTATTTCAATTATATTACAATATTCATAGAAATGTTTTTTTTATTTTTCATTTTTTAAAAGTAGCTTCTGTTATTGCTGGCCTATGCTGCAGAGTCTGTATTATACTTTTCTTGCTTGGACTGGAGGTGCTTTCATCCTCATCCAGTATTAAGCATCTAAGTACAAATTTTCAGTTACAGTGCATTGAGAACATGCATCCCTGGTATGATTTTAAATACTGAATGCAGGTCTGTTAATTCAAATATCACTGTAAAGGTTCATCAACATTTGAAAAATAACTTTATCAGGAAACTGAATCTCTGACTGAGTAAAAAAGTATTCTGTTGGCTTTCATTTTAAATCTGAGTAAAATTTTATCTCTCTGTATTGAAAGATGTCTGGTTTGTGTAATTGCACAGGGGATTCTGTTTACTGTTATCGAGGAGAGGATGGAGCAGTATGAGTAATGGCTTAGGCACTCCCCTAAGATGCAACTGCTTTACACAAATGTTTTGTTAGTATCAGCAACTCCTAGTTAGAATCCCTTGGACAACTGTAAAAATGACAGTGTGAAGCTGATGCTGTTTTCATAGTTGCAGCTGCAGAAGGGGGTAACAGATGATTACTCGTGTGCGAATAAAGGAACAGCTAGGGGAAGAGAGTCTTTAGAGCAGCCAGTAAGCCTTCCACAGCTGGGGGAAGTGAAAATGAGATAAGGAAGTAATTTTGAGACAGCTTTTAATTGAGACTGTGAAGTATAGAAACCTGAAGTTTGAGACTGTTCCTGATAATGTTGTAGTATTCACTTTCACAGCAGTCTGGGAGAGGATGTGGCTTCTTGCCAAGGCATTGCTCATAGCTCTGAAACCACTGAGGTTGACAGCACATCTAAAAATCTGTTTGCTGAAGACAATGCCTGCATCTGATTGTGATCATCTGCTTTTAGGTTTCTGCATCGGAAAATGTTGACAGTAATCTTACAAATAGATGAAGTCTGAGATAGATCTAACTCTAGTGTATATAGGGTTTGGGTGTTTTCTGTTGTTTTTTTGCAGATTCTTTGAAATGTCAGAACTGGAACTAAATATTTTTTAGAAATAGAACTCTACCATTTACTTTAAAAAATCATATTCTAGAAGCTGTCAAACCAGTCCTAACTAAAAATACTCAAACTTGTATATAAGCTTTGTATTGCTTATGATGGATACTTCTTTGAAAGTGACACAGAATTAAATAAATATGGCAATGATTATATTTGGAGTACAAAAGTGAAAACCAGGTCAAAATTTGACAGTTTGAGGATACTTGGAGAGGGAAACATGTTTGTTATTTACTGGAAAGTTTGGCTTCTTATCATTAGCCTACAGAATCTGTTGTAAAAACTGTGGCCTCTCTAAAGGAAGAAAATCAATTTTAGACATCTAGATGAAATAACAGATACTTGCTGGAATATTACTCAAAGCGTCATTAGATGAGGGACAGTTTTGGTACAGGAACAAATGCATGTCACCTGGTCATGAATTAACTCCCTCAAATCTCATGGGAGATTTGGAAATGTCTTGGGTATTAGCACTTGTAGAAAAGCCTTCCAGTAAGAGTGAGGATCAGCAGCCCAGCTGCTTTTGAAACACAGTGTCACGTGTTTCAAACCGAGGACACACAGATAGCCCAAAAAAATATGAATTACTTTGTAAGCTATCCTAACCTGTAGGAGTACTGATGATAAGGCATCTGTCATTATGTTGCTGTCTTTTATCTTACAGTATGTAAGCAAAGACTTACTTAAACATGATTATCACCGATTATATAGTTGGGCAACAATTGCTGTCTGTTTTCTTTGTGTTTCTAACAAGTGGGTGAGTGGTTCTCCAGTAAAGTAACACTACACAAACCACATTTCCAACACAAGGCATTGTCTGTATTCACAGACAACTGTATTTTATATTAAAAGAAAGAAAAAGAAGTCCTAGCTCTGCTAGTTCTGAGGCTGTGTTGTCATGATGCAGATAGACATCAAGGAACTCTACTGTTGCTTTGATAAGTTTTCTTTAATCTCTGTAGTAATGACTGAGATCATCTTCTGACATTCCTTACTTTACTCTGCAAGATCCCAGGTGTTTAACTTTTTCTGGTTTTAACATTGTAGCTTCCTTATATATCCAAATACAAAGGTACTGCCAAGCTTTTAACTCCTTTTACTCATCTTTTCGACCTTCTAATGTTCCTTAATCCAGAACTTTCACTAATTTCTGGCTTTTCAACTTTCTTAAAATTTGAATTGTATATTTATTTTGTATACATTAAAATTGACCTGATAATAATATTACTTCTTTTTTTTAGTTAACAGGATCAGTTCTAGAAAGATAGCTGTCTGTTAATTTGCATGAACTTTGACATTTTAGCTCATCTCTATTTTAAAGACTACTTTATAGTGTATTCTGTCTGGGTGAGACTCTCTTATTAGTGGGTGTTTTTGTTGTTGTTTTTTATTTACCCAAAGAGCAGAGAAAGTTCATTGGCTAAACAGGTTGCTCTTTTGTTGACTCTTGGGAGTGTCAAACTTTGCATCACTGCTTCCAATGCAGGTGGGACTGCTTGTGCCTTCTCTGGTTTCTCAGCTACCCAGCTGTGCTGTGATATAACATATCATCTTTTTGTGCTGTGGATTCTATGTAAATATGATGCTCCTATCTATCTAAAAATTCTGTCTTATCTAATTTCTGACCTGAGCTAGTGGGCTTGTTTTTATGCTCTTGGCTTTGCAATTGTGTAGTGTATTCTCTGATTTCTTGTACTACAGTTTATCCATTATATCCTTCTTGATTTTAATTGTAATCCTTAGGAAGAAGGATATTAAGGTTTTGGAGTACGTAAGTGAAGTGTAAATTTGAGTTGCTCTGTGGGGCTTCACAAATGTTTTGACTGGTCTGTCCAAGTCTAACTCATAGCGTTTGCTAGACTAATTCAGATCATTATGAATTCAGCTAGTACAATGCTCAGTACTTTGATTTGTCTATTTAAACTCAGTGTTACAGTGTTTTTATGTCGCATCTTTGGTGTTCAGGTGTATGCAACAGAATGTTATTACTTTGTTAGAGTTGCTATAGGCTATTGCAGACAGATGAGAAATTCTTTGTGTCTTACAGGTAGAATCTTTACATACTGTTCTAGAAATGTTGCTGTGATTTCTTCACTGAGCTTATCCTATTGCCTAATTTAGTTGCTTACAACTAGTTGAAGATCTTGAATTATTATTAGTGTC